CAAACGTAGTTGGGAGGTTACATTTGATATCCCTGGAGCAGTAACACTGGCACTCTTGATGGAATTTTCCTGCTAATTCACTAGCTTCGATCGCGATTCTACTTCCGCTGAGCATGTGAAACTGCAGTACACGCAAACAATTAATCAAATCCCAAAATCAACTCGTTGAATATTAGATAAAGTGCAAATAGTAAGCAGTTTATTTAACATGGTGTCCAATAACTATCCAATTTACTCTTTGCGCATTCTATCTGTTGCATTCCAAAAGAAGGCAGAAAGCATAGATGACCCAACTGGCACTTCTACACTCTGGAAAATGTCATTAACAGTGACCAGCATTTTGCTTCACTACTATGGGGCCCAAAATAAAGTCGAGATTTAAATGAATTTAGTGCCTTATTTTTTAACACCATTAATCTGCTAGCTTAAACTCGGGTGTTTTAGCCCTTTGCGTTAACTTTCGTCAGTCAAAACAATGTTTGCTATGCGAGCGATCTTTGTTCTCGGTTAATAGCACAGCATACAATTGCACAAATTTCGACCACTACAGCTATGGAGACTGCTGCCGCGTCATACATCAGGGACAAGAGAACCAAAGTCACCAGTTTTACGAGTGTTAAAGGTGTGGGATGCTGGACAGAAGAACCGAGATTACCAGTCTTCAAAGTGACTGACTGGGACAGATATGGAACTGTGTTATTATGCATGAGTTTTCATTGAAGAAACACCAAATTACAAGTTAGTCGTGTATCACTTATCTTTTTTGGCAAAAACTGCCTCCTCTAGACAAGTTGCAGCCTTTGATCGCTGTGAGGTGTGGTCGTGTGCATCTGCAGCAGGTGCTGCAGATTCAATTGAACTTCCAATGGGGTAGCTAGAGATCGTCTATGCCTTCGATTAATAGTGTTTCTGATTTCTCAATTTCTATACGATCCACTTGTTTGTGCAGATCTTAAAAAAACTTAAGTGTCTTCACCAACTGCTTCATATTAAATCATGTTCTCCAGTAACAGAGTTAATTGGTTTATATTGCATGCACACAGTTGTTTGGATTAGGTGATACCATTTCGCTCACCCTTAGTTTGTATATAATTAAGCGAGTTTTGGCTGAACTTCAGTTACCTAACTGTATTCGAGTAATTCACAGTCTAGGCCGTTATA